TTATTGTCTATAAGTAAACTAAGATTAGTTAAAAAGTTAATCATAATATTACTCATCTAAATTTTATTATTTGTTTATTAGTTTATTTAATTAAACAAAAAAATTTTACTCCATTTTTTTTTCTCTCTCTCTCTCTGTTCCATTATATTGTGTATCTATAAGAAAAATTAAGGTAATAGCCTACAGATGTTTTTTTTATTAAATAATTAAAATTAAATTTTTTAGTTCTAAATTATTAAAATTGAAAAAATTAGAAAAATATACTAAATTATACTTTTATTTAGATAGTAGTCTTAAAAAATTAAACTTAGATATAAAAATCTTATTAGTATAATATTAATAATAATAATGATAGAAGATAGAGTTATGTTGATGTTATTTAGTGCAATTGTTTTAATTGTATTTAATATACAATTAAAAGTCAAATGCGATGATGATGAAACTCCGGGTACATATATATATATATTAGTATAATTTCTTTCTGTCTCTCTGTCTCTCTGTCTCTCTGTCTCTCTGTCTCTCTGTCTCTCTGTCTCTCTGTCTCTCTGTCTCTCTGTCTCTCTGTCTCTCTGTCTCTCTATCTCTCTGTCTCTCTGTCTCTCTGTCTTTTTAAATTAATTAATAACCATAATTGTTTAATTGTATAGATGAATGTACTCAGTTTAACAAATATTGCGATAGTGAAACAAGCAAATGTTGTACTGGACTTCATTGCATAGATAACACATGTGTATGTAAAGATCATGATGAGAGCTGTCAATTTAAAACCAGATTATATGAACTCCATAAACAAAAAAACGAAAATCAAAATGAAGAATAAATATATATATATATATATATTAAAATCAATCTACAAACTATTAATATTTATATTAGTTAAATTGATAATGTTTGTAAAATTTATTTTTATATATTATATTTGCCTAATAGTAATTAAAAATAATTGAATAATAATTATAAACCCATGTTGTAATTTATTACACTGCATTGATAACACGTGTGGATGTGAACATAGGGATATAAGCTGTGAATATAATGTTAAATTACTAGAAACCTCTAAACATAAAGAAAGTAAAAATGAAGAATAAATATATATATATATATATATAAAATTACTTTTATTTATTTATAAAAAACGAATATTTTTAGTAAATAAAAAAATATTGTTTTATATATATTAAGAAAAATAAAATACATTTTTAAAACTGATAACATTTTTTATGTAATTAATTATCATATAAAAGTCTATCTTTCTTTATCTCTCTTTGTCTCTTTTTTTTGTCTCTCTTTGTCTCTCTTTGTTTCTCTTTGTCTCTCTTTGTCTCACTCTTTGTCTCTCTCTTTCTCTGTCTTTCTCTGTCTTTCTATATCTTTCTCTGTGAAAAAATATTTATATTAATATATTTTTATATAATATTTATATTATCTTTATCCTAAATATTGTATATTATTATAGAATATTAATAGCTTACAAATGTTTACCAATGTTTAATGACGAAAGCTATAAAATAGTAATTAAGACTAAAATCTATTTTTATAAATTATTTTTAAATAAAAACCCATATGTAGCTTATTATTCATTTTTTTTATAGTTACACAATATATTGGTAAAAAATAATAATAAATTAATATTAAATAAATAAATTATTTTATATTTAAAAAAATATATTTTTATTCATTATATTGAGTAAGTATTAAGAATATTAAGTAATAACCTACAGATTGTTTTTAATTAATTAATTAATAAAAATAGATTTATTTTTCTAAATTAATGAAATTAGTAGTATTATTTCAGTTAAAAAAATCATATTGTAAATTTTTATTGATAGCTTTCTATTGATATAAAAATTTTTAAAATATATTTCATAAGCCAATATGATTGGACAACAACATTCGACTAATGGTTTTAGTCTTTCTCTGTGTTTCTCTGTCTTTATCTGTCTTTCTCTGTCTTTCTCTGTCTTTTTTTGTCATTCTCTGTCTTTCTCTTTCTTTCTCTTTCTTTCTCTTTCTTTCTCTTTCTTTCTCTGTTTTTAATAGACGGTTGTATTGATAAACTTGATGAGAAATGTAAAAGTGCTTTTCCGTGTTGTAGACTACTTTTCTGCCGAGATAGTGATGATGATCAACAAGATGATGGAGCCGAAGATAATGATGATGATAATAATATTTGTAGATGTAGACCTTTGGATAGAGATTGTTATGTAAAATATGTTTTGAATAAACAACATAATTGAGAAAAACAAAGACAGTAAAATATTTTAATATTATTATATTTTAACAAATTTAATAATTATTTAAAATTATTAAAAAATAAACATTGCAATTCTAAATTGTTTTATTTAATTATTTCTATACTAAATGTATTCAAATTTGTTTAAAACCTAAAAAAAATTGTACTACAACCACATTTATTGTTTTCTAAAATCTACTTTTTTTAATTTTTTTTAATAAAATAAAATTAATAACTTTTTTTTAAAATTAGGATTATTTATTTGAACATAAATTTTATAAATTTATAATAATATTAAATAGTAAATACAAATATATAAATTAATTAATTATTTTTTGATTTATTTTAGCAAACAATTACCGACTTATCTGATAGTTTTATCTATATAAGCGGTGGATATAATGGGTCATCAGTTTTAAAGAGTGTTATAAATATAATATACACCAAAATGTTTGGCAATCTATACAATCCATGACCAGTAGTAGGTCGTGGTTTAGTTTGGTTTCATATGAATCAAATTTATATGCAATTGGAGGATATAATGTGTTATTTTTTTTTAAAAAAAAAGTTTGAGAAAAATAATGGATAATTATATTATTTTTTAAAATATATATTATTATGACTTAATTATTGTAAATAGTAAAAACCTTGAATAGTGTTGAAACATATAATACTCAAACAAATCAATGGAATTTTGTATTATACTGTAATGTTATAATTTTTTTAAATATTAATTATACAGATCTAATTATATACTGTAATTCATTAAATTGTATTTTATAATTATCTTTAAAAAATATATATTAGAGATTCAGCATAATATATAGTTAAAATATATGTTTGCGGCGGTTATACTGATAATACTATATGCATTGGGTGGACAAACAAAAGGTATTTTTTAAAAAATTTTTTATAAACATATTAATATAAATATTTTTTAAAACTTAATTAAGAATTATATACTAAAAAATTGATATTTATAAAAATTAATAGTTTTAGTGTAATATTAGTTTTTTTAATATATTAATTGATTATATTTTTTTAAATTATAGTAAATGTTTTAGTAAAAATTAATTATACTAGTTATAAATTAATTAATTTAGTTATAAATAGTAATCTTAGTTTTTATTTAAAAAAATATTTTTATATAAATAGATAATAATTTAACAGATACTGTTGAAGTATATGATTATAAAGCAAATCAATGGTATTAAACGACATCATTGCCAATAAAAATTGCCGGATTTGGGGTAAAATTATTTTTTAAAATTATAAATATTTATTTTTGTTAAATTAATTTTCATATTTTTATCTATTTTTTAAGGCAACTATCGTATAAGAAAATTATTATCAATAAATAGCATGACTTGATCATTAAGTTTTTATAAAAATAATTTAAAAATGTCTAAATTAATAGATTATATAAAATAAAAAAATAACTATTAGACTAGATTCCCATTTATTTTTTTTAATAAATATTTTTATTTAATTTTTAAAAAATTAAAAAATAGTTTATTTTATTTATTTGTAATAGAAAAAGTAAATTAACTACACTTTACATTGTTTTAAAAAAAATTGTTTACTATCATGTTTACTATTAAGTACTATGATTTATAATAATAATTTTTAAATGTTATTTAAAAAATTATCTACAATACTTTACGTTAAAGATGATAAAAAATAAATAAATAAAGTACTTAAAAACAAAATAATTGTTTAAAATAAGTAATAAATACAATATAAAAAGTAATTATCAATAAAAGCTATTAAAACTTATTAAAGATAATTAGAAATTAATTAATTAAATTAGATAATATTTAATGAAATTGATTATCTTAATAAATATTTATTTTCAAATAATTATGTTTTATTATATTAGAAAACAATAAATTTAATAAAATAGTTATTATATTAAATATTTGATTAGAAACTAAAACACAATAAAATAATAAAATATTTAAATATAACAATAATATTATATATTTAATTTTACAAATGATTAGTAATAATTATTAATTTATTATACTGTATATATTTTTTAAATAATAAAACATATTATATCAATATTTTAATTATTAATAAAATGTTAAATAACAAACAAAATATCATATAAATTTTATTATAAATTATCAGTACTTATAATAATAATACTTGAACTTTGTTGCTAAATATTTTGAAGTTATAGTTTTTTATATAAATTAAAGGACTTGTCATAAAACAGATAAATGTTTATAGATATTATTTACAATAATAATAATTTATTTACAATATTATTTTAATAATAATTTTTTTTTTATAATTTACTAATTATTAGTATATTATTTTAATTTCTAATTTATTATTTCATTAAATAATCCATTTCATAACAATATAAATAATTTATATTTTTTGTTGAATATCTAAATAAAAATATAAATATTATGATTAAATTAAAAAATGAAAGTAAAATTACATTACATTTACAAATAAAGATATTTATAACAAAAATTAAGATTTGATATTTTTATTATATATATCACTGTTTCAAATAATACTTGAACTTTGTGTTAACTCTTTACTAATTTTTGTTTATAATAAATGTTTTTATATTGATATATAAAATCAAATTAATTTTTACAAAATATATAATAGTATACATTTTATTATTATAATCAAAAAAATAATATTTATATACAGTATATTGACATTACATGTTTAATAAAATGTTTAATATTAATTATTACATTATATTTCTAATTGTAATTATTAATATCTATAGTTGTATTTACCCATTAAATACAACTGGAATTAATAACAATACTATTACTAAAAATAATGATTATAATGTAAGTTATTTTTATTTTATTTTTAAAAAATTAAATTATTGTTTTACAATAGAAAACACTGGACTTATCGGATAATTTTATCTATATATGCGGTGGAAGTAATGAGACATCTATTTTGTCTGATTGTTATAAATATAATATACACACAAGTGTTTGGGAATCAATACAATCCATGTCTACTAAACGTATGAGATTTAGTTTGGTTTCATATGATTCAAAATTGTATGCAATTGGCGGCCATAACAATGTAACGATAATTGGTTTTTTTATTTAATTTAATTTTATAATAAACTTTATGTAAAACTTATTTTTTTATTTACTTTTTAAAATAAATATTTAGAAAACATTGAATAACGTTGAATCATACGATACGCAAACAAATCAATGGATATCAATGGCATCGCTGAATATATTACGACGGTATTTATATTTACAATTATTTTATAAAATCATCGAAATAGTTTTACAATGTTAAGATAATGTGCTAGATTTTTTTTAAATTTTTTTTTATTATTTAATATAAATTTAAAAAAATATAAAATAAATTTTTTTAATTAACACTTTTTTAGCGATTGCTCAGATTGATTAAATTTTTATAAATTTTATTAAAAATATTAATAATCTAATATTAATTATATAAAGTGAGCATGATGCAACTGTACTACAAAATACAATTTATGTATGCGGTGGTAAAGATGGTATGTGTATTAGTTATTATATTTTTATATTTAATTATTTTAATTATAACATAAAAAAACACTTATTATTATTATTATCAAGCATTTAGTAAATTTAAAGATTCTTGGAAAGATAAAAATTATAAAAAAAATATTTTTTTATTTAATTAATTAATTTATATATATATATATATTAATATAATGATATTTAGGAACTATATTAAAATCATGTGAATATTATACACTAAATACTGATGACTGGACTTTTTCAACACCAATGAGTCAGGTAAGAGAGGATCTGTCACTGGTAGCACACGATAGGCTAATATATGCTATCGGAGGTAAAAATGGTACACAAAATTTTAATACAATGGAAAGATATGATACAAATACTAAACAATGGCAACCAATGGCTAATATGAAATATCCTAGGTTAGTTTTATATAAAAAACAATTTATTTACATAGAAAAAATCTAAACAAATTGAAATAAAATAAAAACAATTAACATCTTATCAATAAAAAATACACGTTTTAAATAAATTGTATTTTTTTAAATATTAATGTTTCGATTATTTTTTAATATATTTATTTTATAAAACTATATTCAATTATAACATATTTATGTCTATATATTTAATGAATATATTTTAACGTTTTATATTTAATTGTTTATTTAAAAAAAAAATTTAAGAGACTATTTAGGTTCAGCATCATTTATGGGTAAAATATATGTTTGCGGCGGTTGGAGTTATAGTGATGTCATGAACTCATGCGAAACATATGACTCGAAAACAAATCAATGGACACCAATTGGTTAAGTTGATTTTATTAAAAATAATTATTATTGAAAATAATTTATTTGTATTAAAAAATAATTTATTTATATATTTTTATTAGCATCCATGCAATTAGAAAGAATTGGATTTAAATTGATTGCATTTAATGACAAAATATATGCATTAGGTGGACAAACAAAAGGTATATTTAATTGTTATTTAATTATATAATTGAAATTAAATAAAATAATTTTTTCTTTATTTTTATCTTATTTTTTATTAGATGGTAATATAACAGATACGGTTGAAATTTATGATTATAAATCCAATCAATGGTATTATACGACATCAATGCCAATAAAAGTTTATGATTATGGGGTAAAAATATTATAATTTACGTGTTATATTTTAATCGATTATTTTATTTTTTACTTTTTTTAGACAACATATTTAACTAAATTATAAAATCAAATCAAAATTATTAATTATAATACTGATGATGTTTAATATTAATAGTTTGAATATAACTACTTAAAATAATATAATTAATATTATAATAAATAAATTTCTTATTTTTTCTAATAATTTAATTTATTTTTTCATTAATTTATATTCAAAATATAAATATATATATATGATTATTACATAACAAATATGTAGTTATAAATTTAACTTAGAATTACAATAAAAATTTCAAAAATAAATTATTAATTATTAATTATAAATATAAAACAATTATATACTAATATATAAATATTTTTATTTTATTAACAAAATAATGTATACTATTTATAATAAAAAAAAATTTATAATAATAGAACATGTAATAAATTATAAAATTATTAAGCTAAATTAATTAATATTTAATACAATGATGGTAGTATTTATTATACAAATTTATAATTAAATATCTAAACAAGTTTACTTAAATTATTTTAATCAAAATTCTCAAAAATAAAAAATAAATTTTATAATATTTTTAAATTATATTTATATAGATGTAGATAGGATAGGTATAGATACTTTAAATTATGTTTTTTACGGATTGTTAAGGATGTTTTATTAAATAACCATATAATTTATAACTAATTTATAAATTTAAATAATTTTTTTATTTATAACTAGTTTGAACAATAATTTTTATTAATAATAATATTTTACAGAATATTTTAGTGTTAACAATGTAGGAGTAAACATAATTTTTTAATTAATCTGCTACAATTGAATAATTTATAATTTAGTTATAACAGATGCCTAATAAATAAAAATTAATAAATTAGTTATATAGTTAATTATAAAATATGATTTACTAATATATATATATATATATTACCCCAAACTGTTTAATATGTTTTGGCAATGATGTTGTTGGCAACCATTGCTTTGATTTATAATCGTACATTTCAACTGTATCTAATATATGATCATCTATTTTTAAAAAAATATAAAATAATTCTTTATAATAAACAAAATAGTTTAAAAATTATTAAATATATATATATTCTTAAAATGATTTACTTATATTTTTTTTTGTAAAATTATTTAATATTTGAGATTAAAATTTGAATTTAAATTAATATTTATCATTTAAAATAATAGTAATTTAAAAATATATATATACCTATTGTTCGTCCACCCAATGCATATAATTTGTCGTCAAATGCAATTAATTTCAATGAAGCTCTTTCTGATAACATTGAAGCTAAATATATATATATATACATATATTATTAAAAATAATATATAATTATTGCAATTAATTAAATCAATAATATAACTTATAAAAAATAATTTAAAAAAAACAAACCAATTGGTGTCCATTGGTTTGTTTGCGGATCATATGTTTCGCATGATTTCCAATCACTATTACCAAAACCGCCGCAAACGTATATTTTATCCAAATATGAGACGGCAGCAAAATAGGATCTTAAATTATTAATTTAAAAAAAAATAAAATAAATCAATATAAAATAAATTATATAATTTTATTTAACTAGATTATCTTAGTATAATTTTATTTATTTAATTATTTGATATATATATTATATATTTATAATATATTATTATATAATATACTTAATTCTTTTTTATATATATATATATTTAATTTAGTTTATAATAAATCTCGAAATAAAATTAAAGTAATTAAAATTGTCTAGTTTATAATATATTTATATATTAAATTTCTTATGTAATATTTTAAACATGTATTTACAATATTTATATAGTATTTATTAAACTAACCTAGTATATTTCATATTAGCCATTGGTTGCCATTGTTGACTAACTGTATCATACCTTTCCATTGTATTTAAATATTCGTTAGCATTATCGCCACCGATAGCATACAGATAGCCTTCGTGTGCTACCAGTGCCAGACCACGCCTTTCCGTAGCCATTGCTGTTACAAAATGCCATTCATCGATAGCCTTAAAATAATATTCACACGATTTGAAGACAACGTTACCTAAATATTTATAAACAATATTTATTATTATTATTATTAAAACTAATATTAACTATTTTAATTAATATTTTTTGTTTGTTTTACAATTTACATATCTAAATATTATATATATATACAGTATATAATTACCATATTCACCACCGCATACATAAATTGTATTATCAAGTACAGTTACATCATGGTAGCTTTTTGAATTTAATATTTAATTAATTAATTAATTAATTAATAATTTTAATAAAAATTTGTATATATATATATTTACTGTCGTATTATATTCATCGATGCTATTGATTTCCATTGACTTGTTTTAGTATCATATGTTTCAACGCTATTCAAATAATTACCCTTTATTATTAAAAAATAAAAATATTATTATTATTAAAAATAAAGGGTAGTTTAAATTTTTTTTAAAAATATATTTTTTTCATACATTATAGCCGCCGATTGCATACAATTTTGAATCGTATGAAATCATATTAAAGTCATCCCTTGGAGTGGACATGGATTGTATGGATTGCCATTGATTTGTGTGTATATTATAATAATAACAGTCCGATAAAATTGATATCCCATCCAAACCGCCGCATATATGAATAAAACTATCCGATAAGTCAAGTGTTTGCTATAATAATTTTTTAGCAGAAAAAAAACAAATATAATAATAAATTTATTTTTAACTTTTTTATTAACAGTAAATTTTTTCTTAAAAAAATATATTTTCTTAAATAATAATTTTACATTTTGCTGTTGTTTGCTATTAATTGCAATTGCATTTAAACAATATATACAATTGAAAATAGTTAACAATAAAAAGCAATAGTAATTATATTTAAACATTTTTTTAATTTAGTTATTATTTTTACTATTTTAACAATTTATATGTATAGTATATACTTTATATTTAAAAAAACAATTTATTTTAGTATATTTATATATAAATAAAATTTTTCAAGTGTTTAACTCAAGTTTAGATTACGTTTAATATTCTACTATATATATAGTATATATATAACTTTATTTATCAGTATATATATATATATATATAATAACAAAGATATATTTGATTTATTTATTTTAATTTTATCAATAATAATAATAATTAAAGTATGAGTAATTCTCATAAAATTGAAACTATATTTCATAATAAATTACTTTAAAATATTTTTAATTATTTTATCAATTTCATTGTTTAAGTAAACAAAAACTTTGTTTTAAAACTAAATTAATTATATAAATGTTATAATAAATATTTATCACATTTTTTTGGAAAAATTAATATTGCAAACAAAAATGATATAATTATTAAATGATATTTATTATCTAAACTACTTGAAATCGTATAATCTATTAGTTTATATATATTTTTTTAAAAATTGTGTGTGTATTATATTTATAATATACTGTAATCTGTAATTAAATATTGTATTAATTAAATATATATTTTTTAAAAAAACATAATAATAACTTTATAAATATATCTTCTATAGTTTGTAGTAGATACTTTGCACTTTATATAATTATCCTTGATAATTTATAAATTTGTTATAAATTTCAAACTTTATTTATCAATAGGAAAATCAAAATATGTGTTTCAGTATAAATTAATTAACAATAAATAAAATAAACTTTTTTCATTAAATACAATATTTATTTTAAAAATTATAATAATATATTTTAGAGTAGTTTTATACTTAATAAAGATTTTGATTATAAAAAATACTATAAAAAGTATACTAAATATACATTATTTGAGCAATTTATCTTAATGTTTCATAATTTTTTTTAAAAAACTGTTGCCTAAAAAAATAAAATTTAATAATTAATTTTTAAAAATATAACAAATGATTAAAAACATTTATAAATTTTCAACAAGTTTTATAACTATAAATATATAACCATAATATTCATGAATTAATAACTAATAATATAAAAAAAAAGTTATATAATAAAAAAAACAATAAATAAATATTTAACTATTAAACTATTTAAATTAATGTTGTTTTTATTGAACTTTAAATCTTTAAATGATAATTTGAAATAAGTTTTATAACTTTGTTATAACAGTAGCCTATAAAATAAAATATAATAATTAGAAAAAAGTAACTTTGAATATCATAAAATATTTTACGCCATAATATCCAACTTTTATTGGCAATGATTTAGTATACGACCATTGATTGGATTTATAATCATATATTTCAACCGTTTCTGTTAGTTTATGGTCTATAAGTTAAATACAATTAATTATTTAAAATTTATTTTATAATATATATATTAATAATTATTTAATTAATTAAGTTGAATTAAAAATACAAGTGTTTTATTTAACAGTTATTTTAACTAATAAATAAATGTAATAATAAAAAAAAATTATTACTAGTAATAAAATTTTACTAATTAAATTTAAGCAATTTATAAAAAAAAAATTTTGTTATTAATAAAATAAATAAAATATACCTATTGTATAGCCACCCAATGCATACAATTTATCATTGAGTGCAATCAATTTAAATGCATATCTTTCTAAAAGCATTGATGCTAACAAATAAAAATATGTATAATAATTATAATTAATTGAATTAATAATAACAACCAACCAATTGGTGTCCATTTATTTATTTTCGGGTCATATGTTTCGCATGATTTTCCATCACTATTACCATAACCGCCGCAAACATATATTTAATCCATAAATGATGCTGAACCAAATAAATATCTTATAATAAAAATAATAAAATATTTTAAAACTGTGTAAATAAATTATATTTTATATAATCTGATTTACTAAATGTTATTTTATGTGAATAAATAGCTTGTTTTATTAAGAAATTAAACACATTTAAAATATTACATTTAAATATATATTTAAATTATTAAAAATATCAATTAGATTTTTATTTTTTACTAATAACAATTTTCTATTTTTTATAAATAAATATTAAAACTAACCTTGGATATTTCATATTAGCCATTGGTTGCCATTGTTGTCTAGTTGTATCATATTTTTCCATTGTATTTAATATTTTTTCACCATTATTACCTCCGATAGCATATATAAATCCATTGTTGGCTACCAGTGCCAGACCATACCTTTTCTGACTCATTGGTTTTGCAATAGACCACTCATCAGTATTTGGTAAATAATATTCACATGTTTTTAATGTATTGCCTGTAAAATAAAATTATATAAATCTATATGATTTTATATGTAAAAAATTTTTGTTTAATTCAAAATTTAGTTTATTTAAAGTAGTATAATACAAATATTAAGAATTATCATCAATTAATGTATTAAATCTTATTTATAATATTTTAAATACTAATTATTTGAAATTATTTTCAAAGTTATATATTATATAAACTTATATTAATATTAATTCACATATCAACGTAAAAATTCATTAAAATTTATTTAATTTTTTGCCAAATAATAATTTTAAGAAATAAAAAATAAGTTAGTAAATTGAAAATTATTTTTTTTAATAAAAATTATTTTTCTATAAATAAATATAGACACTTACCATTGTAACCACCGCATACATATATTGTATTTTTAATTACAGTTGCATCATGATCACTTGATGAAATTCAATTTGTTTAATCAATAAATTTTTTATGATTAATAAATATAAAAAATTCAAACAAACAAAAATTAGTTATAGTAATACTCGCGTATTATATTCATCGATGCAATTGATTTCCATTGATTTGTTTGTCTATCATATGTTTCAACACTATTCAATATATCTTTACCCTTTTATTTTTTTTAAAATTATTAATTTTTAATTAATAAATTTAATAAAAAAAATTATTCTAAACGAGAATTTTATACAAGTTTTATACATTAAAGCCGCCGATTGTATAGAATTTTGAATCCATTAAAATCAAACTAAATTTATCCCTCGGAGTGGACATGGATTGTATTGATTGCCATTGATTTGTGTGTATATTATATTTATAACATACAGACAAAACAGTTGTCCCATCATTTCCACCGCATATATAGATAAAACTATCATCCGATAAGTCCAGTGTTTGCTATAATTAAAACAAAAACAAAACAGTTTAACAATGAAATTATATTTAATAGATTTTTAATGAATATTAATATATATAAAAAATATATATATATATATATATCCGATAAGTAAATATTTGCTTTAATAATTTTTTGACAAAAATATAATAATAATAATAAAATTATTTTTAACTTTTTAATTAACTATAATTTTTTATTTTAATTTTCTTAAATAATAATTTTACATTTTCCTGCTGTTTGCTATTAATTGCAATTATATTTAAACAATATATACAATTGAATATAGTTAACAATAAAAAGTAATAATAATTATATTTAAACATTTTTTATTTAGTTATTATTTTTACTATTTTAACAATTCATGTATATACTGTATATTTAAAAAAACACAATTTATTTTAGTATATTTATATATAAAAAATTAAGTTCAAAAATAAGAGTTAATTAGAATTTAGATTATGATTATTATTGTACTTTATATATATATATATATAATAATAAAGATATATTTTATTTATTTATTATTTATTTTATCAATAATAATAATTAAAGTGTGAATAATTCCCATAAATTGAAACGATATTTCATAATAAATTACTTATAAATTTTTAATTATATTATTTTATTTAATCAATTTCATTGCTTTAAGTTAACAAAAAAAAAATTGGTTTTCAAACTAAATTAATTATATAGTTATAAATTTCATAATAAATATTAATCACATTTTTTTTTGGAAAAATTAATATTGCAAACAAAAATGATATAATTATTAAATGATATTTATTATCTAAACTACTTGAAATCGTATAATCTATTAGTTTATGTTTTTAAAAAAATAATATATTAATAATTTATAAAATTAGATCTAAATTCTATTATTGTAATTAAAAAACAAAAAATGTATAGAAAAAATATTTTATAATAATAATTACTTTTTATTTTTAATTATAATTATTTAATTTTTTTTAAATTATATTTACTTATTTAAATACAGATAATAGTTTAACAATAATAGTAATAATAATTATAATTAATTTTAAATATTTAAGAAAAAAATCAGCAATATTATCAGTATTTCTCAATTTATTTCTAGTTATTAATAATATAATTTTTAAAAAAATTGATATCAAATTATATACAAATTTATATTTAACTAATATAATATAATTAATTATTCAATAGTTTGTTATTATATTATTATTGATATACAGTATAAATATAGATATAATTATTTTATTTATTATGATTTATGTTTTAATAATTTATTAATAATTTATTTGATTTAAATGACAATTATTGAATTTTAAAATAAATTATAATATATACAGATTTATAACTAACTAATATAATATAATTTTTAATTATATAAATAAATTTGATTATAATTAGCAAAGTAAAAAAATTATTTTACTAAATCTCATAAGAAAATTTAATATATAACAATTTTTTTTACCTAATAGTTTGTTTAAATTTGTTAAAAATATTTATTTTTATTATTATTAATGATTATGAATTAACTAAAAAAGTACTATATTAATAATTTCTATAACAAATACAATACATGAAATGGTTAGTACTGTTAGATATGGTCCCAGTGCTACACGCATACTGTCCAATGGCATACGTTTATCATATGGATCATCGATAGTGTTGCAGTTGTTATAATCAAAATTAGAATTTTGGAAATATTTTACTAAATAATTGATTGCTGTATTTAGCCAAACATCATAGTTGCCCGTCTCAATTGTTTGTATAATACTTTTTCAAAAAATAAATAAATAAATTTAAAATTTTTATTTAATAAT